TTTATTACGAATTTACTTTAAATCAAGCTCTCAATTTTTTATCATATTTTATTTTTAAATATTTCATTTAATTACATACATGACTTCTTAAAATACGGCTGTAAACTCGGTATTTGAAATCATCATGCTGTAAAACCCATTCTGCGATGAAAAACATTTTGCGCATGCGCTCTGTTGCATAAAGAAAAATGGACGAAGAAACAAAGCACGCATTTTTAAGTGAATTAAATTCCATTTTTCCTAGCTGCATAGCATATAAAGAAAAATCTACACCTGAACTGTTGTTGTTAAGGATGATCTAAATACAGAAGGGAATGAAAATTTCACAAAAGAATTTTCAAAAATTTCTCAAACTCAATACTCAATGGAATAAAATTTAATCAAGAGTTCATCCCTCAAAGATCTACTATGTTTTTCTTATCATGATTAATTTTTATGTATTACAAATGAAATGTTCTATCTACAGATTTTACAGGGAAAAAAATACCTTATGTTAGAAATGTCCCTCCCATTTGTTTTAATATTAATAACATCGTATCAGCATAAATTAACTATTCTCCCAATTAACTATTCCCAAACTTCAAAAACAAATTAAAAAGTTCTTTTTTTTTAAATTTAATTTGTTAGAATTAGCTTTTGAATTTTAGTTTTATTTAACTTTCATCAGATTGTAATCTTTGTCGTAAAATCAGCTTTAAATTGTATTTAAACGGTTATTAAACCGCATTATGTAAATAAAAAAGAATTGATGCAATTAATATGTTATACACTGTCGTGCTTTCAAAATATTATCTAATTCAATTCTGAAATTTTGCAAGAATACATTTTTTACAATGTTTGAAGATGAAAATGAAGTTAGTTGTTAAAATTGTGACTTCATTTTAAAATAATTTATGACTATCTTAAATGTTTTTCCACTGAAAGCTTTTCCTCAAAATTGTCAATATTTTTATTTTTTACTTCATTTAAAACTTTTAAAATTGATGTATTAGTTAATAACAAGAAATGTGTTTTCAAAATGAGACTACATTTACTCATTATTAAGCAATTTTTACGGGTGTCTTGGGATATTCATCCACTTTTAGATGCACCTGGATAATTTTTATTTAAATTTTTTTCCGCACGTGCGCTTTGTAAAGCAACTACTTCAATTACTCTTATCTGGTGCAGTTTTTATTATATATCTATTAATTTTAAAGCAATAATTTCGTTATCAGTTTAAAATTGATTCAAACGCTTCGCTTAATTTTTTTAAAATATTTGAGCTATAGCAAAAGTGGCACTAGACCTAGTATTTATTTCGGACATTTATCAAAGGTCTAGTCATACTAGGTCTGGTTAAGTGCCATTGCCCGGTATTCTTTAGCCCGGTATATCCTACACTGATGTTTTTAAGGTCAAGTGCCATTGCCCGGTATACCCTACACTGATGTTTTTTTAAGGTTTAGTGCCACTGCCCGGTATACATTTGCCCGGAATACTCTACACTGATAATTTTTAAGGTCAAGTGCCACTGCATTTACCCGGTATACCCTACACTGATGTTTTTTGAAAGGCTAGTGCCATTACCCGGTATATATTTTCCCGATACTCCAAACACTGATGTTTGTTCTAATCTATCGTCAGTAAGTATTAAAATATCGAATAAATGTGATTATATAAATGTAAATGTAATAATGTATAATAAATTAATAACAAATCGGATGTAATAAACATTTCGGACATTCACCAAAGCGACTAATTTGATTGTCAACATTCACCGGTGAAAGTCAACAACCACCGATTTCGGTCATTCACAGTAACATGCACATCATTTACATAATAACTTCATCAGGACGATTATTTCATACTTTGCCTTAATAGCATCCGGCATTTCAAAAAATAAAAATAATTGGTTTTGTAGGCGATGATCTCGTAAGGCGATAAAGAATCATGCATAGTACAGGTAAGGAAGATATTAACCTCGAAGGAAAAGTGGATGAATACCCCAAGAAACCGTTACTACCAGTTGACTAAGTAAAGAACAAACAGTTACAAGAAAGTAATTCCTTTGATTACAGGTTTCACACGTTTCAAGAAAGTAATTCCTTTCTTATAGCTGTTTGTTCCTTACTTAGTCAACTGGTAGTAACATAATCAATTGTGAATATTTTAAAGTTTTTACTGTTAATATCATTCTGAGTAACATTTAATTACGAAGATATCTTTAACGTCTGACAGAAACAAAATATTTATCTGCTTAGAAATTGTTTCATTATTCAGTTTTCTTTTGAATCTTAAGGCATCAAATAACCACATAAAAAACAAAGAAATGAAAAGGAAATAATCCATTTTTATTAAAGTTATTAAAAAAACAACATGTCACATTTATTTTTCTATGATTGGCTAAATACAATCACTACACTATAGTGTAGTGACTGTATTTAGTACATAAAACAATTTGAGGGCAATAAAGCAATTTGAGGACATAAAGCAATTTGAGGGATTGTACACTACATAAAGCAAGTTGAGGGCAAATAAAAAAAAATCCTAGTTTTTTTTTTTTTTTGAAAGTGTGGTAAAAAAAATTTTTTTTTTAATGTGGATAAACAAGTTTTTGCTCATGCTGCAAAATTAATGCCCCTTTTGCCCCGACCCCCACCGTACCCCTAAATAGTTGCAAAGTATTGTTTAAATTCATATTCGACTTAAGCCGAAACTATTAAAATGATTTCCAGCCTTCCCCTGATTTATAACAGTAACATGCCTTTTTAACACGGAAACTGAAATGTTCAGTTTCTATGATATTTCTCTCTTTCTAATAGTTATTTTATTTGCAAGAATAATAACGAATCTAGGATTGTAAATATACGTAACATTAGTTATGGTTGTCTGTAAACTTCATTTACGCTTGTGCATAAAAAAAATTTATAAAGCAAATCAAATCATTAACTTTTTCAACCATTATTTTTTTTCATTCACTAACTTGATTTTACTATACGTGGTTTATTTAAATAGTAGTTTGAAAGTTTAGGAGTTTCTTATGCATGCTATTGTTCGATTGTTTATTATAGGTCTTTAAACAACAATCGTCCTTAATAAATTTATGTACTGCTTGTCGAAAATGAAGTAAAAATATATTAAAAAACGCAAAATCAAATTAAATCAGATAAATAAAAACGTTATCAAAATTGTCTAATCGTTAATAAGGAAGATGGATTGAAAAATATCAAAATTAGTTGCGAACCATTGTCTGAGGAAAATTGGAAGTGTTAACATATCCCAGTCGAGGAAAACAGAAAACTTTTGAAAGACGATTATTATAAATATTTCTGATTCGTCAAAAGTTTTTTTTAGTACAAAATTTAATTTGAAGATCCTGTAGTATGTATATAATTTTTAATTCATTTTTCTTAAACATTTTTTTTTTACTCTATATGTCAGTTACATATTTTCTAAAACTTCAGTTGGTCATCATTCATAGCGACCTAAAAAATATGAAGGAAAAAAGAAACGTTAACTGCAAAACGAAGTTGAGTATTGTTCTCAAGAAAATTACGAAAACAACTAGATGTAAAGATACATTTTTAAAAGCTGTTATAGCAGTTGGATATATCCCATAACCATGGAAAATTAAAATATAAATTCTCCATTCCCATATCATACATCAACTGCAGAGTCTTTAAATATGCTAAGGGTTAGCAGAACATTTTCTGTTAATTTAATTATCTTAGATTGTACACGATTTTAATTAATAATAATAAAAAAATTAATTTGGAGTCAAGTAAAGACAAATAAATGGAAGGCAAGCAAAATATCAGTTGCAGTTTTTGACTGTTGTTGTTGTTGTAGTTCATTTACGTTACACTAGAGCAGCACAATAGGCTATTGGCGACGGTCAGGGAAACATCCCTGAGGATGATCCGAAGACATGCCATCGCAATTTTGATCCTCTGCAGAGTAGATGGAACCCCCGCTTCGATAACCCGACGACCTACACGAGGACTTTACGGTGGAACAGTTTAAGGAGACCCATACCGCGCACTCCCGGTCCTCGCGCAGACTGATCCAAATGGTCACCCACCCGCTCACTAACCGCAGTCAGTGATGCTTGACTTCGGTGATCTGCTGGGAATCGTTCCTTAACGATCAGTCGACTGCGGGACCAGTTTCTGATTGATTTGAATTCAAAGAGTAATAAGTGATAAGAGACACATTTTTTGCGTGAATTTTTTATTAAAAGAAAAAAAAAGCCAATGCATTCGAACGATCAAACATTTGTATGAACTAAAATTATTAATAAAAATATGAAAAATATATTAACTATAATTTTCTCTCTCTTTAAATTCTGTTAATTTAAAATTCCATAGTAGCATAATGAAAAACATTAAAGAAAATAAATTGGTAATATTTATTTCAAGAAAATATACAATTGGAATATTTATTGCATAAACCCTCTGTTTGAAGACAAAATAAAAATGAAATCTACTAATCAGAGGGAAAGCACAACCAGTAATATCACATTAACAGTTTAGTTATACACTTGTATAATATTTTATCCTCCGCTAAAATTAAAATGTGGAACGGAATGTACAGATGTTGGTAGAATAGGCACTTTTTCATTTCTCCGGCACAAATAATTTCAGCTAATTTATTTATTTATTTACTAAAAAAAAAGAAGAAAAAACGTCATTTGAAAAAAAAGTGGCAAAAAAAGAAAAACAGTTGCATTTACTAGCAATCAGTAAGTTTGCATTGGCAACTTAATCATCGAAAAAGAAGATTAAATTACCGTAAAATATTTTTAGAATTAATCTATATGATGTAAATAAAATTAATATTAAAGATTATGAAAAAATTATTACTCATTTTAATACATTATACAACTATTCCTAGTTGTAATATTGTATAATAAACTGAAAATTTCAAAATCGTCTCCATAGTGGATATTGGCGATGTGGCGAATATTCAGCGCGAAATAGGTCGCCGCAACGATTAAAGAGGGCAACTCCTTAAACGTTGCCATTAGAAAATATCACTTTTCATTTCTTCTAATCTTAAGCTAATATCAAAAAAAAATAATGCGGACTGCGAAAACTAATGAAATGCTGTGAAAACTAAATTGAGCGGAAAACCTGACGAAGAAGTGTTCGAATAAGTATTGATTCGAAGTTAATGAAAAAGAAAGTAAAAGCACCAGAAAATGGCCACACTTACAGTAAAATAATTTAATTTGCACGAGTCTATATCATAAATTATTTTGTTTGAATTAACTTATTATTGTTATTAACGTATTATTGTTTTATGAATATTCATTACTATTGTAAAAAAAACTCTGCTATTAGTGTCTTAAGCATCGAAATATTCCTATTGAAACTTACTAAATTTTAATTAAAAACTGTAATTATAAGGATGTATATTTAGTGTTATTAGTGGGAAGCAAAACAACGTGAATAAGGTTCAAATGAAGGAACCGAAGTGGGCATACTTTTGTTTCGGTTCTATAAAATAATGATCATTTGGGTCTAAACACAAAAATTTTGTGTTTAAACATAACTATTTTGTGTTCATACACTAAGTAACTTGTGACTTTAAGCCAAAAAAATACTAATAGGTGCACAATGCTCCTGTATAATAGCCTTTCGAATGTTCTATCAATCATATTTTTCTTGTTTAAATGTTGCATTCATTCTTTTTATTAATTGTTGTAAAAGGTGATTTATTTTGAAGTTATATCGTAGTATTATTCATATTTTTTTATTTTAATTTACCAGTTCTCTGAACATACGTTATTTAGCCGAAATGGCTAAAAAAATTTTTTTTAAAATTCTATGTACTCATTTGAATTTTTTTCCACAAAATTTCTTTATGGAAAATCAGATAATGTTAAAGATACTGTAAACGTATCACAACCCTACTGCTAACATAACCCTACTGCTTTAAATACCTAGACTTTGAAGAGAAGAATGACACTATATCAGGAGAAAAATATCTGAATTCATCAGCCTTTTTTTTTTCTTTTTCTACTTTTGGCACATTAGGGAAATTTTTTACCTCAAGCTTCAGAAATATACATTTTCCACCAATAAAATATAATGTAGATTTTAATTCCACGCTTTTTCATTGAAAAGGTAGAATTTTAATTAACATTATTTGCATTATTTTTTGAAAAAATATCATGCTTATTAATTACTTTCTACAGCTATGCAAGTCTATATTAAGACAGCATTAAATGTTTACTCAAATCTGTACTTTCAATCAAAAGAATCAAAACATTTTTAAAAATGTAATTTCAAATTTGTTGGGATTTAACAAACACCAAGAACAAAAGTAATTTTGTTAACTAAAATTAATTAATGCAGCAATTTATTTAAAATAAATTTTGAAACTAAGAAAACAAAATAATAGAAGTATCAATAATATAAAACACTGAATTTTAACTTTTAAAATCAATATATATATTTAAAAAGAAATGATTTAAATCAATGATATTTTTAAAAAAATCATTTGATTTAAATCAAACTGAGTTAAATCAACAAACCCTGCTATAAAGTTGTAGTATTCATCATTAGTGGGTAATTTAATTATAAATCTTATTGAACAAAATTATGTTAGGTATAAATCATGTATGATAAATAAATTTAAATTGATTTTTTGCAAATAAAATTTTCAGGGTTTTTCACTCTGTCACACAATCACCCCTGGTTGATAAGGGCCAAAAACCTGGATCAAGTTTCTTTTTTGTCATTGGGTACTCTTTATCAGATATTAAATGATGCACAGCGCGTGCATTATATACTACTATAATTATAATATGATTTATATCATATCATGAATAAAAAATAGTCAAATCTAAAGTGGTCACTTATAATTTTCTGGTCTCAACTTATACTTTTTTTGTTTACAATATTTTTTGTTATAATGAAGCAGAATATGTCCAATTGCGCGGGTTTTAGAAGAAATTCAAGTTACCCTGAAAAAATTTTGTTCTAAAAATGCTCCTGCATAATTTTTACGTTAAAAAATTTTCTGGTTTGCTAGATTTTTTCTGGTTAAAATTTTTTGTGAGTTTGTGTTAGTTTGCATTCATTAAATTTATGAGTGTAACCTTAAATTTAATATAAAAAATTATTGCTATTTGAATATGCATATAAATTTCTATTATTTTTAACGCATGTTCTTTTTTATTCAGGTATTGTGTAAAATCAAATGAATTTGTTCTCATTATCAAATTTTTTTTAACAATGTATAAACGTTATATGCTGAGGATATTTTGAAAGTGTTATTGTAAAGAAAAATTGCTAAAATTTTTAGAGAAATTTTGAGCTAAAACAAAAGCTTGAATACAATATTTTTTTGTTTTTTGTAATTGCATGCTTTGGGGCAAGGAGAAACTTAAAAGATGATGATTAAGTGTTTTTTTAACATAAGATGGTTGTTTTTTTATTATTAGTAATTAAATGAATTGGATAAATTGCAATTTTGCACATTTTTATTTATAATTTAATATTTTCGACACCAAAATTATTTGGAACAGTCCCCACGACAAAATTTTTTCATATCTCAAAGACATTGGTTTTGATGCATCAATATCGATATTTTATAAACACCAAGTTGTAGGTGCGATATAGCCACAACTGGCTCTTGCGCCAATAACTAATAACTAACTAACCAAAATTTGGGTTTTTGACAGTAATAGTCAAAGCAAAATGAGAAATTAATGTCAGAATAAATCAAGAACATAATTGATTGACCACGCGTAATTTTAAATACTTCATATTTGTAATAACCAAATCCTTACCAAATACTAGTAATATACTTACACCAAAATTTTGTGTTTTCGACAAATGTCATAAACTATGTATTAAAAGAGACAGTTAAATCTGTCTATTGTCAAAAACTTGCCAAACGTTCTTGAATATGTGTATTTTTTATCTATTACTTAAGAAACAATTTTTAAAGTTCTGATTTATAGAATTACAGTAATATCAATAATCATAATGATCCAAAGACGTGCCATCACAATTTTGATCTTCTATGGAGGGGATGGCTCTTCCACTCTAATAGGCAGTTGAAATGTGCACTAAGTTGACCATTTAAAAACAGTGTATCGAGCACCTCTTCAGCTAACTCTAGTTCTTTATTGCAAACTGATCTAAGTGGTCACCTCCCTGCTCAATGACTGCTGTTAGTGTTGCATAACCCCTTGCACTATACTGAAATTTGGAACAAGCCGTGCCTATATTGTGCACCCAAATGTTCGGGAAAAGTGCTTAAGACAAGAGACACAGACAGGATTAAGAGACAAGATATAAAATACCTATTCATATAAAGAAGAGGCCATTCAGGCGTTCTTGTTTAGCCCGAGATTAAGACCATGAGTATGGCTCTAGATATTCGAAATGTTGATTATGAGCCAGAGTCGTGATATTTGTTTGACATGAAATAAAACAACCAGCCTGAGTCATGCTATTTAAGTTTGACTTAAAAATCTCATCACACGTCAGACTCGTGGAAATAGTACGCGGGGTTAAGTTGGGTAATCTACTAAGAATCGTGTTTAACAATCCATCAACTGTGGGATTTTGATTAATAAGTATTTCTATAACTCCTTGAAAATTCGATTTCAAAAGAATTTACCAAACATAGAGGACATTTTTTTAGCACAATTATGAATTTTTTTCTGTTTTTCAGACTCCTGTTACCAATCCCAAGCCTTTTCTACTGAGTTTAGTGGGCAAAGAAATAAGTGTTAAATTGAAGTGGGGGATGGAGTACCATGGGGTACTTACCTGTGCTGATGCTTATTTAAATCTGCAGGTAAATATTGTTTTAAATATTTGTGTTTAATATCTTAAATTAAGGAGTTGAAGCTTTTTTTTTTTCTGGAAAGAATGCCATTAAAATAAATTATGCAAATTGGCCAAAAGTGAATTGTTTCGCATTTTGTGAATACAGTGAAGCTTTGTGTTATGGACACTCCTAGAAAACGAACATAATTTTAATTCCCTGTGAATCTTCTATGAATAAGCCATCATGTACATTTTCTGCTAGGCAGACACTCTCGTTACTGGACGTGAACAGTCATTTTTACCCTGAAGCGTTATTTTCTGTTTCTGCAAACTGGACTACATTTTTTTCTAAATTTGAAAAAAAAGAAATTCTGTTTTAAATTTCAAGAAAAAGAAAAATACTACTTTTCACTAAGAGTGTAAATTTTTTGCCTTATCCATAACTAAAAATATTGTTGAGCTATTTCACTACTAAAGAATTGATCTTTCTCCTGTCACTTTGCCTTATCTTCGCAAAGAGAGGAGAAATAATGATGCTGTTTATGTGAAATAATTCTGACAGTGGCCTCTTTTCATATGGACTACCGAAGGTTATGAGACCCCTCAATGTTTCTTCCCTACTGAAAATTTCATTAATTTTTTTATCAACTAGAAGGCTGTATTTAACACAGCTGGGTTAAAAAAAAGAGAACAGAAATATAATCTTTGAGGTGTTCATTTAAATTAAACATTTATTCAGACACTTGATAGATGATCAATTGTGAATATATCAACTCCATAACTGCTCATGCATTGCTTTCTTTTTTTCTTCTGTGAATCACAGGAGGTTTACTTTTAAAGAGATATTAACCACATTTCCTACCAAGTAATGAGTAGGTGTCAGGGGGTGTTAAACCTAATAATTGAAACCAACTGAGGACTGAAAGCTCCTATTTGGTATCATATGACTAACTTGAATATCTGCATTAATAGGAAAATTATATTCATTTATCTGTAGCTTCATCTAGAATTATGTATATATATATATCTAACTTTTTTAAAATTTTAAATATCCTTGTACATAGTTATTGTATTTAATTATTTCAATATCATTGAAAATATTAAAACGGTTTATGGTGTTAAACTTCGTTATTAGGGTTCCCCTCACTGTAAACTGACAATTTTTTTGGTTCCCAAAGTTAACCAAGGTTTGACTAGATTGTTACATCTTACATCTTTTTAAAGCTTGAAGTGTGTTATGCTTGTTTTCTAATATCATTTGATTAAATATATTAAATTTAGTTGAAAAATGAAGGTATTAATTGTTTGAGTGATTATATATCATCTTATGACTATAACGTTTTGGTTGAAATTAAAATTTCTTGTGTAATAAGTATTCTGCTATTGCTGTCTTAGTGTTATTTATCTATACTAGTGTTTATGTTATAGTTATACACATATATTAGTGTTATTTAATTCTAACAATTTTTACTAGATGTTACAGTTGGTGCTGGGTTGGACTTCACTGGAAAAAATAAATTTTTGCGAGGACAGTAGTAAAAATGGAAAAAATTTAGTTACTCCATATTTTCCGAACTGAACTTATTCATTGAAAAGTTAACTGTGATAAAACCTTCAAGAAATTTTAAATTAAAGATTTAAATTATAATTTAGTAACTAAATAAAAGACAAAGTGTTTGTTTATATAGACAATTTACAACATTTGTAATTTTATTTTATTCAGAGTTTTTAAAAATATATGTGTTAACAAAGCACAAAAAAATAATGTTCCCAGTGAAAGTTTTTTTTTTTTTTCAGAATAAATAGACGAGGAATTTATAAAAGTTCATTTAATTCTTCTGCGAATTCGAATCTCAAAATTGTTGATTCGCAGATTTCGCAAATCAATGGATTATATTGATTTTCTCATTCATTCAGACAAAATATTCTCTAAATTTTGCTAATCTAAAATTTAAATTTTGTTACTTATGCAAAATCTCTAATTTTACCCAGATTTGTTAGGAAAAGATGCAACTTTGAGAACACAAGACAAAAAAACAAGAAAAGCAATAAGCTTCATAACTTGAGCAGTAATTAATAAACTACTGAGGCAAACATAAAAGAATAAAATTTATGTGTAAAAAGTAATTCTGAATTGGCCAACATTTAAAACATCGTTCGCTAAAAAATTGGTTTCTTTTTTTACTAATTTTAATAAGTAGTAGTCGTTTTAATGACAGTTGATTTAATTGTTACAAATTTTGAATTGTTACGGAAGAATTATTTAATCAATATGATATATTTGCCTTTTTTATTTAGCTACAAGTAGATTAAATAAATTTTTAATGTGATATTACAACATCGAAATTTCGTATCTTGCATTTCAGTTATTGCTTTTAAACGCTTGACATCAACATAAATCCGTGTTTCTGTCTTATTTTTCATGTTTTTTTTCTTCTTTTTTTTGCTATTATTACGGCACACTCAATTTGAATCACACATATTGAGTAATCACATTTTGATGCGTCTGATTTGCGTACATACCAAATTTAAATCCATATCTAGTTTAAATCGCTGTGCCTGCTATTCTTGTAAAAAAATTTCTTAATGTTTTTTGTTTTGTTTGAATTCTACATTGCTTAGACATTATTATTGTGACACACAAAATTTAATTTGTCCATACATCAGTAAATTTTTGATGCGAGAATACCACGGTTTTTTCGATTGACTTTTTTAAAATTATTGCTGCAGATATCAACGTGTTCTTTTAGTCTTGACATTTTCATATTTTGTTATTAAGAAACTAGAAATTCTAATCAAACCATTTAAATAATTACTGCTTGACACTCTCGATTTGCGTAAAATCCATGCAGCATTTTAATTTAAATAATTTTTTTTTTAAGGGTTGGCAGTTATTGTTGTTGCTTTCCACATGATTTTTGGAAATCCCAATATTATGAAATTCGACTCTCGAGCCTGAGTATTCACTATTTGACGCGTTTGTTCTTTCGTTTTTTCAATAATTTTTTATGCAGTCATCACTATTGATATTCGTTTATTTTTTTAAATCTCTATATTTTTAATGCAATATTTATTATAACACATGATTCTCGAAATTTACATACACGTGGTATTATCATCTATCTTTTTGCAGTTATTGCTGTGTATTTCACAGTATTAAGTCTTTTCCTCCTTTGATGCGGCAGCAACCTGTAAAGTGCGAAAAAGGAGGAATATGTAATTTTTTCAATAACCTTCTATGTGGTGATGAAGATGAGAAAAATTTTCTCTCTTCAAGTCTTATAAATGTTACTTGTATGTGTAAAAATGAGTCTTTTATATATTTTCTATGTACAAAACACATAAAAAATTAAACACCAAAAATATTGAGAGTTAAATTTCAGACAATTTCCTTTCCCAGCAACCCTTTCATTCACAGTTGAACTAACACAACAAGTTATAAGTGAAATAAACTTGCAAATTTTTTTAAAAAAAAATCTTATTAAGAGAAGATGCATTCTCCCACGCATTAAATACTATAAGTGATTCAATAACTCTGGGGGGAAAATATACTGCGTATCTTGATAAACGTTGGCTTTGAGATAAATTTCTTTTGGATAGATATTAGAGAATTTCAGTTTTAAATTCCTTTCCTTCTTAAATAATGTGTTTAAATCCAAATAAATAATAAACTAATGTCTAATACAAAGCAAATTAATAATAATTAAAAATAATCTTTTATATTAAGTTTTTCCTTGTTTTAATTCTTTTTCAAATTAATAAGGAACTCTGTCAGAAAATTTTCAAACATATTGATAACAGAATCTATAATGAAATATTTTACCTGTTAAAATCATAATTAGAAACATTAAAACTATTTTTGTTTGGATTGAATTTTTTTCTTTTTAAATCAACACTTAACATTTGGGAATATAAAATTGTATCACTCCTAGAGTAGTTAATAGATCTAGTAATGGTTGCACAGTGAGGTAAAAAAGCCTTTAAAAATGTAGCATCCTATCAACAATATGGATAAGATCATCTAGTCTACAAAAACATGAATGGCGATTCTGAAACAAAATTGATCGGATTTTAGTGTTTTTTTTATTTTCTTTCTTTATGCATTGACCATCACCTAAACATAGGTAAGCTAGAAGATTAATAAAAAAAATAAGTGCTCCTTTCGAGTTGCCCTATTTATGTGTTTCTTTTTTAATTTTTGTAATAATTTGCATTCAGTTTTCAATTATTTTAGGCATTCTTATATATTGTATGTATGTTTACGATATCGATCGATTATAATCGACAAAAAAAGTATTTCTGTTTGCGTTGTGCGCCTGGAATTTTTCCAATTTAGTGGATCAAATTATAAGCTGGTCTACCCACTTAAAATTTCTTATGAAATTTTTTCAAGTACTCTTGACTTATTTTTGGAAATACAGTAGACTCCCGATTATTCGAGTTAATGTGGACGATGACTGACTCGGATAACCGAAAAACTCGGTTAAATCTAAGAGCCTTAAAAAGGAAAGAAAAATAGTAGGTATAAATGTAATGTATTTAACAAATATAAAATTTATATGAGTACACTAAATACAGTTCATATTATAATTAAAAAGCTTACTTGAAAACACTTAAAGAGCATACTTTACGAGAATTAGAGTTTTTACTTTAAAAAGTCCTTAATGTTTTCTTGTTTTACATTACTTTAACGCTTTTCTGCTGCAAAGTTTTGCCTTTTTTTTTTTTAGAGATAATAAGAAGGCTGACTTCTTGTTCTATATATTCAATAGCACTTTTGTTAGCTTTTAGTTCATCTGTATGAGAGATTTTAAAATATTGATTTACCATTGATACTATCCCGCATCTTCGCTAGATTAATTTTCATTATTGACGATATTAACAATAATTTAATCAATAATTTCGTGTTGTCTGTCAGCTTGTTTTCCTGAATGTTTTGATGATAAAATTACATTTTTTTTCAGCGGTAAAAAAATAATTAATAAACTGGAACAAAAAAATCCTTTAAATATTTGATAGCTCAGTTAAAACGGAAACTTGGGTAATTGGGACCCTACTGTATATTGTAATCAAATTACGATGTTATTTCAAATTAAGAGCCCATACTCGCCTGAATCTTATTGCACCACTAGTTCTTTATTTTACTGTTTTTTGTAGCATATAACTTTTTCTAGTAATATTTTTCACTAAAAAATCTAATGAAAGATTTATAGTTAAATAACGTTTAAATTGTTTTTATAGCTTCAAGATGCTGAAGAGTATATTGATGGAGCTTCACATGGTTGTATGAAAGAGCTTCTCATCAGATGCAATAATATACTCTACATTAGAGAGTATACAGCCCCTGAAACAAGCGTCATAGCCAAGGAGGAGGAAGAGGACGATTAAAAAAGTCTTATTTGTACATTGGCATAAGTAAGTGTTCAGCCATTGTTGTTTATTTAAACAAATGTTAATGATTTTTACGAAATTAATTCTATTCTTAGAAATTTCTGAGACTCCTTCATTGGTATTTCAAAATTTAAAGAAATATGATAAGTAAACTCAAATGCTGAATAACTGTTTTTAAAATGCGAATAGATTATCCAAAGATTACTTATTACTTCCCAACATTGCAATTCTGCCATAATTTGTTTGCATTTTGTTATTTTCATATATTATAAAAAATAAAATAAAAAAAACCTTCGTCATTTCCCCGCTCCCAGTGCACATTGAAAGCGTATAAAGGATTATAAAGATTATTAGAGAATCTTTAACTAACTGTAAATAAAATTAATATTGATCATAGTATAATTCTTAAAATTTTTTGGTTTGTTATTGCAGAATTATTTAAATTTCTAACTTGGTTAATATTTGTTATTAAAATAGCTTACCTTAAAAAATATTTTTACTAAGTTTTTATTTTATACTTAACATTTATTTTTTTAAGTTTATCTCACTTTAAAAGCTTGTTTTATAAAAAAGTTTTGAATATATTTTTAAGTTAATTTGTTTGTATAATTTATGTATTTTCTCCTTTGTTATATGAAAAGTTCAAAGGGATATTATTTAAGTTCAATTGAATCTTATCAAAATGCAATAACTTCTTTAATTACTTTCTAATAACAGGGTGCGTAGCGTTTTTAAAAAGTGCTTAAAGGTGCTTTTCTCATTGGGTGTTTTTAAAAAGTGCTTAATTTTCCCTTTTCTAAAATGAGATTTTCCCTTTTCTAAAATGAGATTTTCCCTTTGCCATGTTGATTTTCACAACAAATTATGCAGAAAGAAACTGTTCACATTGTTCAATTCAACGTTTTCACACTTAATTCAACCCCAATCTATTTCGGCGCATCGTCAGTTCGTAGCGTATGAAAACGCTATTCGATTTATATGATTCAAAAATTTTGACAATTGTCAAAAACAATGCAGAAAGGTTCTTTTTTTTTTTTTTTTAAATGACGATTAAAACCAGTTAAAACCGTCATTTGTCTAAAACTTCTATTAATATTTTAAAGTGCTTAAAAATATTTGAGTGCTTAAAAGGTGCTTATTATTTGTTGAATAATTTGGCTGCGTACCCTGAATAACTGAGTATTTTTAAATGTTATACATATACGGCTGCCAAATAGTCTTTTCCCTCATAAGTCCATTTGAATTATCTTTTTTATGTTTTTGCCATCTTAGCCCTCTTTTTTAATTATTTAAAATTCACACGGAAAGTTGTCCTTAAATTTTTGTGACTTTTTTCAGATTTTTGTTGAAGTTAGCTGAAAGAATGAATATTATTTATCTTAAAAAAGAATTAAGGAACTTTAAAATTCAAAAAGGATATTATATGTGCCATGAAACAAAGTGAATAACGAAATGAACGACAATATATCTTCATAGCGCGTCTAGTACGATCTGAATCTAATTCCAGTGTTAGAGACAACATAACCCTTGATTTGGTGACATAAAAGCATTCGATGTGAGAGAAATATATTAAAAAAACTCTTTATCTTTCTACTCCGCCCTCATTACTATATCATACTCTGCTGTTTTTCACAAGAAAAACATAATTTGTTACTACTTAACAATTCTCCATATTTAGACTACTTTTTCCCCTTTTTTTGTAAATTAAAAACAAAAATTACGTAAGTAAAAATAAAAAGAATCTGAGTTTTTTAAAAAATTTTTCTTTTTTCACTAAATGCAGGAATTACTAAAACTATTACCAATTATATATCTGTGAATCCATGTTGGCATTTTATTTTATAACAATTTTGTACTAATTGCTCCCATAAGAGAATTAGCATCCTTAAGTTTCGCGATAATTTTGTCCTTGATTTTTATCTTTTAGCTGTCTTAGCCCTCTTTTTTAATTATTTAAAAATCAGTTTATATTTTTTTTGAATACATTAAAATTGTGACACACTGTGACTTAGTTTGTCAAACTCTCCTCCAATTGTTCACTAGAAAGCCAATGAAGTTAGTACAGTACTTATTGTATTTATAGGTCAGTGACACATTTCTTCAACTTTAGGATTTTGAACTTTTAATATTCTCATCTGAGTTTATGAAGGCATGAGACTACAGAGCTTCATCATTTAATTGTCCCTTTTGCTTATTATTAGAGATCAGAAAAGACATGTCACTTTACTCTAGATCTGCAGAATTTTACTTGCCTTATTTCTGTCATAAAATTTCAGTGACAATTTTAAAATTGAAATTTTGGTTAGGATGCACTGGAGGACCACTCACGAAGTATATATTTAAGTGATTGAAGTATCTTTTCTATCTGTTTTACTGTTAGAATAGATAAAATTTTTATTCTTCTGAATTTTGATGATTCTAGAATAAAAAAGTTAAATTAAATTTATCAAGCATAAAATTTTATTAGAGTGAATTGGAGGTTATGTACTTATTTACTGTATACTCATTCACTATTTTATATGCCTATTAAAAATTCTTACATGTTAGAAATAAATAGTTTCCAAAATTTTTATTGATCACTCTTTAAAATATTTAAGAGAAATTAATCCAATAAACAATTCAATAATTGTAAAAATTTAAGTGGTGCATTAAGATGTTGTTCAATTTGATTTATTTAGTAAAAAAGTAAGTTTTTTTTAAAAAATTAACTAATTTGAAATTTAAAAAGTCCTTCAATTCAAATTGTTAGGTTTTGGATAAAAAAAATAATAAACAAATTATAATAATAAATAGATGAAACTATTCCAATTAGGAGGTTCTATATAGGGATTAGATTTTTCCGTTTTTTAGCGGATTTCCGCTTTTGTCTCGAATTTCAGCCTTTTCTTTTATCAAAAACTCAGATTCTCTAAAAGTTTCGTTTTTTTCATAATATTTTACTTTTTCTAAAAATGCAGTCCTTGAAATAAAATAATTATATTTATTTCCGATTTTCAAAGATAAATAGAAAATTCAAACTACGTCTTAGCTGCAAACCAGGGTTGGGTTTTTGCCGTCAAAAACTGGTTTTTGACATGACAGTGGTAAAAACCATGTTTTTACCGGTAAAAACCGTCAAAAACCTACTGTCTTCTTTAATTTATGGCATATAGCAGGCAATATATTATTTTCACATAATTGCCTTGTTAAATGAATGTTGTAAATGATTGCTATTGATTTTGCAACTACATACATGTATTCTTATAGAAGGATATACATTCATATAGAAATATTGTAATATACTTATTGAAAATAGTGGTACTTACTTTTATCATTATAGCTTGATTTGCAAAGGATTCAAAATTTTGCACTTCTTAATTGTTAGAAATAAACAAACAAACAAAAAA